TTTGTTAGTCCTCATCCAGGTAGATATTTTCTGTAATTCGGTATTTACAGTATTGGCTAGCATGACTGGGCTCGGGTGGGAGAAGATGTATGTAGTGTCATCTGCAAATAGTGTGGGTTTGAGTAATTGTGAAGCATTTGGTAGGTCATTTATGTATAGGAGAAAGAGAAGAGGGCCAAGGACACTTCCATGGACCCAGTCAATGAAAATTTGCCTTGTGACCCATGGCTTATTGTTAGCCCTCCACATCACACACAATCTACTTTTGATGACATTTTTTCTTGAATACTCTGAGATTTTCAGAGTGATACACCAGTAAAGGCTTTATTTTGAAATCCCCACTAGCATTAGCACAGAACAAAAGAGTTAGCCTATCCTTCATAGGCTTGTGTCCTGGCAAATGTCTTTTCCTCCTGCATGATGTAGGTCCTCTTTGGCATTTTCTTTCAAAAGAGGCCAGTTTTGTCACAATTGAACACTTGTTGGGGGTGGAATTATTCAGTTTCTGTGTACCCCTTGAATTCCTGCAGTAATTTTTCAGCCGCATGTTTGTCTGAATTTGCAGCCTCACCATGCCTTACAACACTGTGTATGCTACTATTCCATCATGTTTCTCACTTTCTTTACCAAAGGAACATTACTAGGACCTTTCTTTGGGCCCATGGTGGCTTATTTCACAGTCGAACTTAATAAACAAGAACTAAAACCAATGGATTTTAAGGAAATGTTTGGATGAATACGCGGAGTATATGCTCATTCACCGAGAGACACAAGGAGACTGATTCACCTGCGCGCGGCGTCCTGGTGGGAGGCGGGCTGATGCGTATAATATGGCCAATTTGCAAGGCACTGGCTGAAATACAGAGCAAAATTTCCGCCCAAAAACCGGCCTAAATACGATTCGGCTGATAAACGCAGCAGCTGATATTCAGGGTTCCACTGTGTAAGAGTAAGGAAAATATTTGTCAAATACCTAGAAATCTCTAATTTATTTAGCTAAAAAAAATTTTTATCAGTTTTCAAAAAAAAAAAAAAAAAGATTTAGCTAGGCATAAAAAAAGTTATAGACTTAGCAGTCTTCAGCACCTGTAACTTGATGTGCCTGGCATACATGCTGAAATGATGTTGGACCTGCAAGTTGTCTGAAGACCAATGGCACAAAGTTGACAAGTGGTGAAAAAGACTCGGTTACAGAGAGAAACTTGACTGAGACATTTTGCCTGTGAGCAAGCTGAAGAAACTTGTCCACAGGCAAAATGTTTCAATAAAGTTCCTCTGCAGTTGTCTTTTTTCACTCTACAAGTTCTCTGATAATTTGGATGCACATGATATTGACAGTTTAATTCCATTTTAAATATTGAAACAGTTTACCTGTAAATACGCATGACGTGTGTAATGTCTGGAAACTGTACTTTACAATGCAGTTTTGTAAAGCCCATTTGAAAAAAATTGAAAAGTTATGGGTTTTGCACTTTCCATAAATATATAAGACTGGTCCAAAACATCCAGGCATGAAAACCTTCCATCTCATGTTAGAAAAAATTTAGAGAGTACTTCTGAAGAAATGCTGAAACATTAATTTTATAAGCCGAAATATTGATGAGAGTGATTGCCTCTTCACCGAGTATGAATTAGATAATGCATTAACAAAAGGTCGATCAACTGCTCCTGGAGAGGATGGTATAACCTATGATATTCTCAGAACTCTAAGGCACATGCCTGATAACCCTTTGTTGGCACTGTATAATCTCAGTTACATTGAGGGCGTTCTTCCTACTTCCTGGACCAATAGTCTTATTGTGCCTATCCCTAAGCCCCAACAGCCTGATACATTTACACCAATCTCCTTAACTAGTTGTCTTTGTAAAATCTTTGAAAGAATGATACTTAACAGACTGTACTACAGAATCAGACACCAACTTTACCCCTACCTCTGTGGGTTCATGAAAGGTAAAAGTATGCAGAACTGTATTTCCACCTTTCTCACTGCACACACCTCTACTAGTTTTACCACTTTTCATGATCTAAAATCTGCATTTGATATTGCGAACAGAACCGTTACACTACATGAACTAGCCAATATGAATATTGGTGGTAGCTTACTCTGCTGGATAATAGGATACCTGTCAAATAGAGAATCCTCTCTCCTTTATCAAGGCTTTAGAAGTGAGTCTAAAGAAATGTCTTTAGGTACACCACAGGGAGGAGTTCTTAGTCCCATGCTATTTAATATTGTGATTAATGTTCTCCTAAATGCTCTACCTGCCTCACCTAAACATACAGCTATAAGCTATGCTGATGACATCATGATACATACAACAGGGCATAAGAAGATGAGCACCATTCTTAATGAAGTTCAAGCAATTTGTAATCGACTAGGCCTCATAATATCTTCCTCTAAAACAAAGATATTAACAAGCAAATGACATCCCCCACCCATCTATTTGCAGGGTGAAATCATTAGCTATGTTAAAACTACAGATATCTTGGTGTAGACGTACCCTTTAACAAATCCACTATACCACAACTAAATAAGAAATGCAGAGATAGGCTAAATGCTCTCAAAGGTGTTGCTGGCTACAACCCCAACTATGGTGCTAATGTGAGAATCGTGAGAATGCTGTACATAGCCTATGTTAGCTCCTTAATTGATTATGCTGCTCCCATGTTGATATTAGCTGGAGAAAGTTCTGTCCAACCCTTGGAGTTAATGCAGAATGAAGCTCTCAGAATTATTCTTGGTGTCCCAAATCTACAAAGGTTCTTAATATGAGGAAGGAGCTTGGTATTTCTAGTATCAGTGATAGGGTTGTTGAGATTAACACTGTACTCGGTATTAGAATGTTGAGAAATGAACCAGACTCTGTCACAATGAATCTTACCAAGTGTCTAGAGGTAAATACACACAGATCTAAATGGATTGTGAAAACGTGCAATTGCATTAAGTTTTATAACCTGCATGAACTGTATCACTGTAGGCAACAAGAGCATTTCACCCCTCCATGGAAGATGTGTTCATTTAATATTACATACCAGCAAGTTCCTCCGAAGAAGCTCATTGCTAGTAATCCCTTCCTTAAATCACTTGTTAAAGCAACTGCTCAAGAAGAAATTTCTCGCCTAGCTGGTAGTAATAAGTTATCACAAGTTATATACACTGATGGATCTAAACAGGAGTCTTCTGGCAGGGCTGCATCTGCTCTTGTTCCACCTCCCTAGTTAAGAACGATAATAAATTTGTTGAGTTAGGCATAAGAATTAACAACTGGGCATCTATACTGCAAACTGAATTGTTTGCAATCCTAATGGGGTTAAAGCTAACCTATGACACTGAGCTTGACTCTATCATCATTACTGATTCTGTGTCATCATATTTCTCTTGACTCATATAATGACTCCAATAACATGCTCATTGGAGAAGCCAGGTATAGATACTCAAAAATCAGGGACAAAGGAATTAATGTACAGTTGCTATGGATCCCATCACACATTGGATTACTCCTTCATGATAAGCTGATATGTTAGCCAAGAAGAGTACCCAGAAGGAGAATGTAGAATATAACTTTGGTATAACTGTGTCTAGCATTAGGAATAATATTAGGAGAGAAGTAAATAATGAAAATGATTGTTATAGGAATGCAATTAGAAGCCTGAGTAGATCTATAACCCACTATGATAACATGGACGTAGATAAGTATGTTTATGGAGCAACGTGCAATGTGAACAGACTGACTGATGTTGTAGTGGCTAGGCTTAGGCTTGGTTACAAGTACTTCTGGCAGTTTGGGAGACACACAGATGATGATCAAACTAAATGTAAACTATGTGATCAGGCATATGGTCACTCTCTTGAACACTATGTGCTTAATTGTCCACATATTGAGGAATACAGAGACAGACAGTATAATAACCTATGTGACATATCAAGATATCTTATTAATGAAAATAAGATACCAGATATACTAAGGAAATTTCCTAAATTTGCTTGTAACAGAAAAGTGAACTATAGATATATAGATATAAATCCATATGTATTCCTGTTAACCCTTTGGGGCCTAGTTCCTGGGCCTTTTGTGTATCCATATGCTCTTGCACTACCGTCCACAGGATAGATATGGGGTGCACAATAAACTAGCCACTTTGGTCTCAAAATCTAAAATCATAAATACGTATACAGTACGTAGTGCAATAATAATTGCCAATTGGCTGAGGCATGATACAGATGTGAGATGCTAGGTGAAGCTTCTGATTATTGTTGGTGAATTATATCAGTACTTTTAGAAAAGTATATATTTATCACACCCTTGCATATATTACTTATTGCAGGTACCTTAAGCATGTTTCAGTGTTGTAAGTGATGTCATTGTTCTTGACTAAATTAGTCATAGAGCTTGCTGGTCCAGTTACATTTTTATATTGTATGTTATTATATCTACTTTGTTAGTAATTTAAATTTAAGAAGATTATAAATCTCAGAAATATATATTTCTCATGATACAATAAATACAGGGGTTGTCCCAGGAAGGGTTGGAGAGAGGGAGTTAGGAAGGGCTTCATTGCTAGAGGACTGAACATCTAGCAGGCTTGTGTGAGCATGTTAGGTAGGAGTGAGTTGAGACAATTGATTTTTATGATTTGATGTGCTGTTGGAGTGTGAGCAAAGTAACATTTATGAAGGAATTCAGAGAAACTGTTTAGCCAGACCTGAGCCCTGGAGGTGAGAAGTATGAAGCTTGTGCTCTGAAGGAGGGGTGGTGATGTTGCAGTGCAGAAGGTCATCTGAGCTGTGACATAAGCTTGTTTCTGGGAAGACACTGATTGAATGCATGATGGTGACAGTGTTTCTTTGTAGTAATTTTTTATATTTACAATTCTTTGGCTGAAGTGAGTAAATATTCTGTACTCTAGGCTAAATGCATTTTAATTTAAATGTTTGGAAAATATTTTAAGGAATTTTCTTTCCGAAGGAGGAGCTAGACTAAAAAAAAAATTACTTTTAGGAATACTTGAAGAAAGGAGTTGATGTCAATTGTCATCACCCTTATGGCTGGACACCGCTTCATGCTGCAGCTATTAATGGACGTTCACAAGCTGTCAAATTTTTGCTGAGCAATGGAGCTGATCCTAATCTGCCAGACAATTTCTCAAATATCTTTCAAGTTAGTATTTTTGGGGACGTATGGAAGGGTATAGTTTTGAAAGCATCTTAATGATAGCATAGTTGTTGATTGACGAAGTTGACAAAAGAATGCATCAGAGTAAAGTGAAGGATAAAAGTTAAGACTTTTTTTTTTTGGAAATGGAGAGTGTGACATTAAATGTTTTGTTCTGTAGCTTCATCATTGGCAATACATTGTGTATAGTTCAGATTGCCATAGAAAGACTTACGGATCATAATATGATATGATGGATTATTCCATATATGTATTTTAAATACAGTGAACATGTCCATTACAGGTTGCTCGTGAAAATCGAACTTCACCCATCAGTGTGGAAGTAATACGTGAGGGAGAGTTTAGCACTCTCTTGAATCATAACCAGATGTTCCGTGGCTGTACTGCTCTCCATTATGCTGTCCTTGCTCATGACCAGGAGAGCGTCCAGATTTTGCTTGATGCTGGAGCTAACCCAATGCTAGTGAATGAATATAATTTTAAACCAGAGGATTATGCAAGAGATATTGGTATGAGAAAAATGATGCAGAAGCACTCGGAAAAATACCTGGAGAAACAGAAACAGAGAGAAATGGAAGAGAGGCGAAAATTTCCTCTAGAGCAAAGAATTAAACAACGTATTATTGGCCAAGAAGGAGCAATAGCCACAGTGTGTGGTGCAATTAGACGCAAAGAAAATGGCTGGTATGACGAAGAGCATCCTCTAGTTTTCCTTTTCCTTGGCTCATCAGGTATTGGTAAGACAGAACTGGCCAAACAGATTGCTGAATACCTCCACAAAGGAAAGAAATCATCATTTATCAGAATTGATATGTCAGAGTACCAACAGAAACATGAAGTGGCCAAATTTATTGGCTCTCCTCCAGGCTATATTGGACATGATGAGGGTGGACAACTAACTAAGAAGTTAAAAGCATTTCCTAATGCAGTTGTACTATTTGATGAAGTTGAGAAAGCACACCCTGATGTATTGACAATATTGCTTCAGTTGTTTGATGAAGGAAGGCTGACAGATGGCAAGGGCAAAACAATTGAGTGCAAGGTAATGAAAACATTTTTTTCATCTATTACTGTAATACAATAATCCTTCTGCAAAGTGCTGTATGACCTTTATGAGCTTAGTGCATGTTGCTTTAATATAATTATAATATGTTGCAAAATTTCATGCACTGGTCAGGGAGGTATACCATCTTTTAGGAGTGAAGAAGAGCAGAATGTAAGTGTGGTGGAGGTACGTGAGGCATTACGTAAAATGAAAGGGGGTAAAGCAGCTGGAACTGATGGGGTCATGACAGAAATGTTAAAAGCAGGGGGGGATATAGTGTTGGAGTGGTTGGTACTTTTGTTTAATAAATGTATGAAAGAGGGGAAGGTACCTAGGGACTGGCGGAGAGCATGTATAGTCCCTTTATATAAAGGGAAAGGGGACAAAAGAGACTGTAAAAATTATAGAGGAATAAGTTTACTGAGTATACCAGGAAAAGTGTACGGTAGGGTTATAATTGAAAGAATTAGAGGTAAGACAGAATGTAGGATTGCGGATGAGCAAGGAGGTTTTAGAGTGGGTAGGGGATGTGTAGATCAAGTGTTTACATTGAAGCATATATGTGAACAGTATTTAGATAAAGGTAGGGAAGTTTTTATTGCATTTATGGATTTAGAAAAGGCATATGATAGAGTGGATAGAGGAGCAATGTGGCAGATGTTGCAAGTATATGGAATAGGTGGTAAGTTATTAAATGCTGTAAAGAGTTTTTATGAGGATAGTGAGGCTCAGGTTAGGGTGTGTAGAAGAGAGGGAGACTACTTCCCGGTAAAAGTAGGTCTTAGACAGGGATGTGTAATGTCACCATGGTTGTTTAATATATTTATAGATGGGGTTGTAAAGGAAGTAAATGCTAGGGTGTTCGGGAGAGGGGTGGGATTAAATTTTGGGGAATCAAATTCAAAATGGGAATTGACACAGTTACTTTTTGCTGATGATACTGTGCTTATGGGAGATTCTAAAGAAAAATTGCAAAGGTTAGTGGATGAGTTTGAGAATGTGTGTAAAGGTAGAAAGTTGAAAGTGAACATAGAAAAGAGTAAGGTGATGAGGGTGTCAAATGATTTAGATAAAGAAAAATTGGATATCAAATTGGGGAGGAGGAGTATGGAAGAAGTGAATGTTTTCAGATACTTGGGAGTTGACGTGTCGGCGGATGGATTTATGAAGGATGAGGTTAATCATAGAATTGATGAGGGAAAAAAGGTGAGTGGTGCGTTGAGGTATATGTGGAGTCAAAAAACGTTATCTATGGAGGCAAAGAAGGGAATGTATGAAAGGATAGTAGTACTAACACTCTTATATGGGTGTGAAGCTTGGGTGGTAAATGCAGCAGCGAGGAGACGGTTGGAGGCAGTGGAGATGTCCTGTTTAAGGGCAATGTGTGGTGTAAATATTATGCAGAAAATTCGGAGTGTGGAAATTAGGAAAAGGTGTGGAGTTAATAAAAGTATTAGTCAGAGGGCAGAAGAGGGGTTGTTGAGGTGGTTTGGTCATTTAGAGAGAATGGATCAAAGTAGAATGACATGGAAAGCATATAAATCTATAGGGGAAGGAAGGCGGGGTAGGGGTCGTCCTCGAAAGGGTTGGAGAGAGGGGGTAAAGGAGGTTTTGTGGGCAAGGGGCTTGGACTTCCAGCAAGCGTGCGTGAGCGTGTTAGATAGGAGTGAATGGAGACGAATGGTACTTGGGACCTGACGATCTGTTGGAGTGTGAGCAGGGTAATATTTAGTGAAGGGATTCAGGGAAACCGGTTATTTTCATATAGTCGGACTTGAGTCCTGGAAATGGGAAGTACAATGCCTGCACTTTAAAGGAGGGGTTTGGGATATTGGCAGTTTGGAGGGATATGTTGTGTATCTTTATATGTGTATGCTTCTAAACTGTTGTATTCTGACCACCTCTGCAAAAACAGTGATAATGTGCGAGTGTGGTGAAAGTGTTGAATGATGATGAAAGTATTTTCTTTTTGGGGATTTTTTTTCTTTTTTGGGTCACCCTGCCTCGGTGGGAGACGGCCGACTTGTTGAAAAAAAAAAAAAAAAAAAAAAAAAAATTGGTAAGAATAATGACTTTGTTAGGAATAGACTCAAGTGCAACTGATATGACATTTATTTTGCTTCCTGTGAGGAAAACATAACTGAAATAAATCGAGAATTAGTTGAACACATGTCCATTTGCTTAAAATATTAATTATAATATACATTACAATGATAATTTTTTTTTTACAAAGGCTGTTTTCCACTAAGGTAGGGTGATACATAAAAAGAAGCACTTTCATCATCATTCATTCAATCACTGTCTTGCCAGAAGCATACTGACATCACAGCTCAGCTGATTCTCTGAACGTCAGTATCCCTATGCTTCCTTCAGCATGTGATGAATGGTTCTGAAAACCGACAAGTTGAAGAATTGAGAGACTTATGCAACACATGGGAATCTTTATTGAAGAAACATTTCGCGCACAGTGGCTTCATCAGTCCATACAAAGGAGAATGATGAAGAACAGGAGGAAGTCTAATTTATCAACTCTGTCTGATGAAGCCACTGGGTGGCAAAACGTTTCTTCAATAAAGATTCCCATGTGTTGCATAAGTGTCTCAATTCTTCCTTCAGCATGCAGGCATCATTCTTCCAATCGCCAGGACTCAAGTCTGGCTGATCACTTTTCCTGAATCCATTCATAAATGCTACTTTGCTCACTCTCTAACAGCATGTTAAGTCATAAAAACCACTTTCCTCCACTCAATCTTATCTAACACACTCAGACAAGCCTATTGGATGTCCAAGCCTCTAGCACTCAAGACCTCTCATACTCCCCCTCTCTCCAACCCTTCCTCAGATAACCCCTACCTCTACTTCCTTCTGCCCCAGATTTATATCCCCTCTTAGTTATTCTGTTTTGTTCCATTCTCTCTAAATGTCCAAACCACCACAACTATCTCTCCTCTGCCATCTGTTTCGTAACCCCACAGACCATCTCACCCTACCTTGGTGGTATGATGGGAAACTGTAGTAAATCCTCTTATGGCATGTGGGTTGTGTTCCTGAAAGAAATGTTTTACCTGCACAACAGGCTTCATCAGTTGAATACAATTACCTCTACAACTTTCTAGTATCTAGTGTTATTTTCACTTGTATTCAGCTGGAGAAGCCTGTTATGCTGGTGAGTTTTAGCAATACTGTTACCTTTGTTGCATGTGTCTTATTCATAATACATTTATTTGTAGGAAGCATTCAATAACCTGTATGATCATGCATTTTTGGTGAATTCAGTTTATATTTGCAGGATGCAATATTTATTATGACATCTAACTTGGCGAGTGATGAGATTGCCGAGTATGGGATGCAGCTAAGAGCTGAGGCTGAGAAAATTACAAGGCAGAAGTATGAGGGGCAGCCAGAGGATTTAGAGATCACTGAGACCATCACTATATCACGCAGGTTTTTCAGCTTATTTAACTGCTTTTGTATAGAATTTTCTAAATTTAATTTTGTTTATTGTTTCATGGTAATAAAACATTAAATGTTTCATGGTAATGAAGCAGTATACAAAATAGTATTTTTAGAACCTGTTATATTACATGGATATAATAATTGTTGTACAGTACTGTACTAATCACTTGTTTTCTTAATTGTATGTAAAGTTTCTCGTTTGAATGATTGCACTTTTGCTTATCATTATTTTATCTTTAAAACAGGTTTAAAGAGAAGATTGTGCGTCCTATCCTGAAAAATCACTTTCAAAGAGATGAATTTCTTGGAAGAATTAATGAGATTGTATACTTTGTTCCATTTTCAAGATCAGAATTGTTAAAACTTGTTCGGATGGAACTTGACAAGTGGTCGAAACAGGTACACTTAATACTACTAATTCTTATAAACATATACTGTATATTATTTTTTGTTGTACTGTTTAGTTTTTGTATTTATCACTCTCTTTGGTGCCTTATTCTCTCTCTTCTTTTCTCTATCTCTCTCTTTCTCTAAGAACTTAAGCCTCTTGAGAGAATATTAGAAAATTGTATAGTATTATCTTATACAGCAATTTATATGCCTTCAAAATAGTTGTTTATTCCTTTTTTTTTAATTTCTTATTCTCTGGTTACCCTTTATTTGGTATTGTGTGTTTATTTGGCAGGCACGTGAGAAACATAACATAGAGCTAAAATGGGATCCCATAATACTGGATGTGTTGGCTGATGGTTACAATGTTTATTATGGAGCACGATCCATTAAACATGAGGTAAGGCTTATAATTTGTACACGGTTCAGAAATCTTAAATTATTCTCATATGGTTCTCTGAAAAAAATAGTATACTCTTGAAGGAGGATTATGTACACCACTAGAAGGTGAAATTGTCATATATAGCTGTCTCTTAACTTGACCCAATTTCAAACTGCATGTAGCAGAATGGCCACAACAAACACATCTTATGTGTCTTAGACTCTTAGTATCTGACATTCATGAATACATTTTTTTTCTTCATCAAACCGGCCATATCTCACCAAGGCAGGGTGACCCGAAAAGAAAAACGAAAGTTTTTTTTTTTAAATTTAGTAATGGTCCCTCATGAATACATAGCATAAACATTAAATGAATCTTCCTAACAATAAACTTCTTTTTCACATGAAAGCCAGAAGTTATGTTTACATTTGCATTCACTTCTCAATTTTAAACATTGTTAAACTTTGTTAGAATTTGGAGAGGGTAGGTAATAGGATAGCAAAAGCTTCAGTTTTCTATGAGGAGAGTGAGAATATGTAGGAGAAAAGGAGAATATTTTCCAGTAAAATGTCAGCATAGTTGTCTAATGCATTTATAGATGGGGTTGTAAAAGAAGTGAATGTTAGAGTGTTAGGAAAGATGTGTGGTGGTTAAACAATAGCAAATTTGATGTACTGCAGAATTTGCCACAGTTGCTCTTTGTTAGTAAAACATTGTTTTGGGGATGAAAGTAAGCACAAGGCAGAGAGAGATTAGATGCCAAATTGGAGGGAGGAAGTGAATGTAATTAAGTATTTGGGAGTAGTGTGAGTAAATGGGTATGTGAACAGCAAGATATATAATAGAATAGATGAGGAGTAAAAAGATAGGTGAAATGTTAAGACATCAGTACAAAGAAATTTACCAGCAGATCCAAAACGGAGTGTGTACCAATGTTGCTGGAAGCACTTTTGTATGGATGTGAGGCCTCTAGCCTTCCTGAAGCAAGGAGGAGGCTGGAAGGTATGGAGATGTCAAGTTTGAAATCAGTGTATAGTGTGAATTTATGCAAAAAATAAGAAGAGAGCCAAAAGGTACCTAATGAATGTAGCGACAGAAAGGAAAGATAATTATTTTTAATTTTTTTTAGCTAACACACATGTAAATGTAAATAACTCTTTTTACCTTATTCCTAGTATATATCCTTTATAATATAATAATAAGATATATCCTTTACAGTATAATAAGGTATTAAAAGGTCCCCAATGGAAATAAGTCACTCTGTCTGACTTTTTTGGGTTATCCTAGGTTCTCTACACATATGCTGCAATGTATGATAATCTATGTAACTGTATTTGTGTATACCTGAATAAACTTACTTACTAAGTGAAGAAATTTTAAGTTTGTGTGATGGTATGAAAGGTATAATTCAGCGTGGAAGAGGGATTGCTGAAATAGTTTATTAATTCTGGAAGGATTGCGAGAAAATTTATTAAAGAGGGTGTATAGATACAGTGTGGATGAAAGGATATGTAAGGAACATCAGTTAGAATGAAGGTTTGAAATAAGTTATGAGAGGTAAGGTCTGAACATGTTAAATTGGAGAGGTAGAGTTTGAACATGTTAAATTGGAGAGGTAGGCTTGAACATGTTAAATTGGAGAGGTAGGGCTTGAACATGTTAAATTGGAAACTTAGCATGTTGTGCGAGTGTGAGCAAGATAACATCTGTGAAGGGATTCGGGAAAACGGGTTAGCTTAGGTTGATTTTTTTGTAAGTAAAAAAGTACCGGAGTGTCCATTATCTTATGGTGTAGATGCATTCCTGGCCTACCTTTGATGAGTTTTGAGAGTCTCACTGCTCTCGGAGCTCGCCATGGGCTAGGCTTCTGGTTCAGTCAGGTCATAAAGACTTAGTTCCACATAGTAAGAATCTAAAGTGTGCTTTGCAGAATCCACCAATCACATACAGAGAACATATACAGGAGGGCCCAACTTACACAGCAGGTTAGGTTTCAGGCTACCACTTTGAAGTGAAAATGCTGTAGAGTGAAACCCTTTTTTTCACTTTCAAATGCCTATAAAAGCCTGATAACTTGTTTACACTATAGAGATATGCCTAAAAATGCATATACAGTACACACATTACTTTTTTTTTTTTTAACAAGTCGGCCATCTCCCACCGAGGCAGGGTAACCCAAAAAGAAACAAAATCCCAAAAAAGAAAATACTTTCATCATCATTCAACACTTTCACCTCACTCACACATAATCACTGTTTTTGCAGAGGTGCCCAGAATACAACAGTTTAAAAGCATATACGTATAAAGATACACAACATATCCCTCCAAACTGCCAATATCCCGAACCTCTCCTTTAAAGTGCAGGCATTGTACTTCCCATTTCCAGGACTCAAGTCCAGCTGTATAAAAATAACTGGTTTCCCTGAATCCCTTCACTAAATATTACCCTGCTCACACTCCAACAGCTCTTCAGGTCCCAAATACCATTTGTCTCCATTCACTCCTATTGAACACACTCACACACACTTGCTGGAAGTCCAAGCCCCTCACCCACAAAACCTCCTTTACCCCTTCCTTCCAACCTTTTCGAGGACGACCCCTACGCTGCCTTCCTTCCCTTACAGATTTATACGCTCTCCATGTCATTCTACTTTGATCCATTCTCTCTAAATGACCAAACCACCTCAACAACCCCTCTTCAGCCCTCTGACTAATACTTTTATTAACTCCACACCTCCTAATTTCCACATTCTGAATTTTCTGCATAATATTCATACCACACATTGCCCTTAGACAGGACATCTCCACTGCCTCCAACCACCTCCTCGCTGCAGCATTTACAACCCAAGCTTCACACCCATATAAGAGTGTTGGTACTGCTATACTTTCATACATTCCCTTCTTTGCCTCCACAGATAACGTTTTTTGTGTCCACATATACCTCAATGCATCACTCGCCTTTTTTCCCTCATCAATTCTATGATTAACCTCATCCTTCATAAATCCATCCGCCAACATGTCAACCCTCAAATATCTAAAAACATTCACTTTTTCCATACTCCTCCTCCCCAATTTGATATCCAATTTTTCTTTATCTAAATCATTTGACACCCTCATCACCTTACTCTTTCCTATGTTCACTTTCAACTTTCTACCTTTACACACACACTCCCAAACTCGTCCACTAACCTTTGCAATTTTTCTTTAGAATCTCCCATAAGCTCAGTATCATCAGCAAAAAGTAACTGTGTCAATTCCCATTTTGTATTTGATTCCCCATAATTTAATCCCACCCCTCTCCCAAACACCCTAGCATTTACTTCTTTTACAACCCCATCTATAAATATATTAAACAGCCATGGTGACATTACACATCCCTGTCCAAGACCTACTTTTACTGGGAAGTAGTCCCCCTCTCTTCTACACACCCTAATCTGAGCCTCACTATCCTCATAAAAACTCTTTACAGCATTTAGTAACGTACCACCTATTCCATATACTTGCAACAGCTGCCACATTGCTCCCCTATCCACTCTATCATATGCCTTTTCTAAATCCTTTATCTAAATAATGTTCATATACAGTGGACCCCCGGGTAACGATATTATTTCAATCCAGAAGTCTGTTTGGGTGCCTTTATAGACCGAATTTGTTCCCATAAGAGATATTGTGAATTAGATTAGTCCATTTCAGACCCCCAAAAATACACCTACAAAAGCACTTACAAAAATACACTTACATAATTGGTCGAGTTGGGAGCTGATCGTTATGCGGGGGTCCACTGTACATGCTTCAGTGTAAACACTTGATCTACACATCCCCTACCCACTCTAAAACCTCCTTGCTCATCCGCAATCCTACATTCTGTCTTACCTCTAATTCTTTCAATTATAACCCTACAGTACACTTTTCCCTTGTCCATACTCTTGTCTCTTCTAAGACAACACCTCAAACCTCTCTCCCTTGCATACTTATAACTCACACCCCTTTCACCCTTTTAATTTCACACATTGCTTACGGACTTCACTACGTGCTCTCCGCATCACACTCACCCTAAGAGGTATACTCTTCTTCAACATCCTTCTCATACGTTTTGCCATTACCTCAACAAAAATACCAACCACTCCAACACTATATCATCCCCTGCTTTTAACATTTCTGTCATGATCCCATCAGTTGCTGCTTTACCCCCTTTCATTCTACGTAATGCCTCATGCACCTCCCCCATACTCACATCCTGTTCTTCTTCACTCCTGAAAGATGGTATACCTCCCTGGCCAGTGCATGAAATTACCGCCTCCCTTTCTTCGTCGACATTTAAAAGTTCCTCAAAATATTCTCACCATCTACCCAATACCTCCATCTCCCCATCTATTAACTCACCTACTCTGTTTTTAACTGACAAATCCTTTTGTTCCCTAGGCTTTCTTAACTTGTTTAACTAACTCCAAAATTTTTTCTTATTTTCATTACAATTTCTTGACAGTGTCTCTCCCCTCTATCATCTGCTCTCCTTTTGCACTCTCTCACCACTCTCTTCACCTTTCTTTTACTCTCCATATACTCTACCCTTCTTATAACACTTCTGCTTTGTAAAAACCTCTCATAAGCTACCTTTTTCTCTTTTATCACACCCTTTACTTCTTCATTCCACCAATCACTCCTCTTTCCTCCTGCCCCCACCCTCCTATAACCACAAACATCTGCCCCACATTCTAATACTGCATTTTTAAAACTATTCCAACTATACCTTAAAGTATTTTCATCCTTAGCTTATAATGAGTGGTGAATATATACATTGTAGGTTATTATTTTTTTTTTAATTAACCCTTTGACTGTCGCAGGGCCGTATATATACGTCTTACGAGGTACCGTGTTTGACGTATATATACTCATAAATTCTAGCGGCTTCAAATCAAGCAGGAGAAAGCTGGTAGGCCCACATGTGAGAGAATGGGTCTGTGTGATCAGTGTGCACTACATAAAAAAAATCCTGGAGCACGCAGTGCATAATGAGAAAAAAAAAAACTCCGACCGATTTTTTTAATTAAAATGCCGACTTTGTGGTCTATTTTCGTATAGTGTTTATAATTGTATTCTCGTTTTCTTGGTCTCATTTGATAGAATGGAAAACATATATAGAAATAGAGGTGATTTTGATTGATTTTACTAAAAAAGAACCTAGAAATGGAGCTCAAAGTAGGGGAAATGTTTGATTTTTACCAATGTTCAAAAGTAAACAAATGATGCCATTGTCCAATAAATGTCCAACTAGCCATTCTAATATGCAGTCATGAATGGGTTGATGTTATTTATACAATTATTACAGTATTGCAGTAGTCTGCATAATAGTAAGTCTTCTATTTTTTGTTTGAATAAAAATTCAAAATAGAAAGCAAGAGTAATATCAGAGGGGCCTGGAGACATGACTGATGAGCAAAGAAAATGTTATTTTAGAGCCAGGAATGTCTGCATTGTTCATTTTGGACCTTATTTTGAAATTGTCTATTTTTTAGTTTTTGTGAAATTGGCAAATTGCAAATTTCTGACCACATTATCAGGTAGTTGAAATCGGTAAATGGGCAGTTTCTTGTACTCAATCAATAGAAAAAATGGAGTTCTAAAGAAATAGCTATGAGTTTGGGCGACTGGAACAGTGGAATTAGCCGAAAATAGGGCTCAAAGTGGGCGAAATCGCCGATTTGTAAACAGCGCCGAGGTCGATAACTTCGCAAGAGCATAATTCCGTCAGTTTTCCATCAAATTTCGTTTTTTTGGTGTCATTACAATCGGGAAAAGATTCTCTATCATTTCATAAGAAAAAATAATTTTTTTTTTTTAAATTTTGCGACACCAGGAGACACCTCAGGATTGGGGGTTGCGACAGTCAAAGGGTTAACACACTGGCCGACTCCCACCAAGGCAGGGTGGCCCGAAAAAAGAAAAACTTTCACCATCATTCACTCCATCACTGTCTTGCCAGAAGGGTGCTTTACACTACAGTTTTTAAACTGCAACATTAACACCCCTCCTTCAGAGTGCAGGCACTGTATTTCCCATCTCCAGGACTCAAGTCCGGCCTGCCGGTTTCCCTGAATCCCTTCATAAATGTTACTTTGCTCACCCTCCAACAGCACGTCAAGTATTAAAAACCATTTGTCTCCATTCACTCCAATCAAACATGCTCACGCATGTAGGTAGCCTGAATAAATGTAGGTAGCCTGAATAAATGAAGAATGGGTATAATTGAAAACTGCTATTTATTAGCAAAATGCTGTAAAGTGGGGCCCTCCTGTATTGTATATTTGGAATTACTGATAGAAATAGGACATTACATAATAGCAAATTTACATATATAGCAAATTTGCAGAAGCGACCCCACATAAAGCAAGGGGGAAACCTGTATAGTGTCTCCACTCTGAAGGATTGGTGAGTATGTTACCCTAAAGAGGGTCATTTGAAATGTGATGTCTGTGCTTCTAGTAAGGAAGTTATTGAATGAGTGATGGCAAATGTGCTTTTTCTCTTTGCATCGCCCTGCCTTAATGGGAAAAAGCTGATGTGATAAAAATTATTAATTGATCTTGATACCATATAATCTCTAGGAGAAACCCACTAGATAATGTCAGAAGAAAAAATTACTGAGTTCTAATTAAAAGTTTATCAAACAATAATTTTTTTTTTATTTTGACCAGGATCATCTATACATTAAGGTTATCTTACATTTTTTCTAGTGCATAAATTTGTTAGGCTATATGCTTTTTGGGTCACCCTGCCTTGGTGCGAAACAGCCGTTGTGTTAACAAAGGTGCTTTTTAGAAAGCATATTCTTTTATATAACTTTACTACTTTCTTTGCTCTTCATGTAAGGTTGAACGGCGCCTGGTGAATCAACTGGCCATGGCATATGAAAGTGGACACATTACTGAAGGATGCACTGTCTACATATACACAGATATTCCTATGTCTGAAGCTGAGAAGGCAAAGCTGCAAGACTCGCCATCTCCGATCAAAATTCGTGTGAAAGCAAAAGGAACAGATAGTTTCACTGATGTAGACCCAGGTGAACAATTGAAAATGAATGAAAAAAAATAAGACGAAGATTATAGTAGCCAGTGAATGTATTGTATGGATGAAGGACAAATTATGTGATAAAGTTGTTGATATTTAATGCTGGAACATAATTTTGCCTTGTGTTTTTTTTTTTTTTTTCAACAAGTTGGTCGTCTCCCACCGAGGCAGGGTGACCCAAAAAAGAAAGAAAATACCCAAAAAGAAAATACTTTCATCATCATTCAACACTTTCACCACACTCACACATTATCACTGCTTTTGCAGAGGTGCTCAGAATACAACAGTTTAGAAGCATATACATGTACGTATAAAGATACACAACATATCCCTCCAAACTGCCAATATCCCAAACCCCTGCCTTGTGTATCTATATAAAATGCATCTGTAGCATAAAGCTGTATTGCAATAAAAGACTATCATTACATTATTTGTTTTCGTATATTCTGTAAATTTCTAATTATTGAGTAACGTTAATCCCCTACATTTTTCTTCAGAATAATCTTAGTGCTTTTTGTGAATATATTAACCCGTAAACGGTCCAAACGTATTTATACGTTTTTACCGCTAGTGCCCCAAACATATATTTACGTTTTATTTGTCATACATTCAACATTTCCATGATAAGCCTGAGTTGCCTAGACATGAGAGAATGGGTGTGTGCACTCACTGTGTGCCATATTAAAATAATTGGGGATGCCTGGGTACCATATGCTCTTTTTTCCTATTAAAAAAAAAAACTATTTTTTTTTTTCTCAAAAAAGTTGGGGCACTACGGTAGAGAACGTATATATACGTTTGGACCGTTTACGGGTTAATAATAATAATCTGCAAAGTAGTTTTTTGTTTGCCACAAATCAGCATAATGGTTTTAAAGTGAGTTTTAATTCAAAAAGTTTTTAAAAATTCCTGTTTAGTACAGTTATATCTATTAGCTTTAATATCATGGTCATTTTGTATTCAAGAGTAAAAAAAATTGTGTTAAAATTACCACTCTCATCATATCAATCAGTAGTCCTACATTTTAAGCCTGATGTACTTGTCCAGATGTGTCTTCATAAATGCACCGTCTGTTTCTTTCCAGTAAGTTTTATCCCTCAAGGGTTACTATTGTGTACAGTGAGAGCTCTTACTATAAGTCCTCTGCTGGGGTAGGGTATGCTGCCACAGGCATCTAGTATATTTGCTGCTGAATTATATGCTGTACTCAAATGCTTCATTCATATTACATTATGTATAACCCACATAGGTCATACATTATTATTATTATATTTATGATGAAATGCTAAATCCATAGGAGTCGTACACCACTTGGGGAATGAGGAGCACTCAGATTTGATCCAAAGAACTGAAGCATAGTTCCAAATCTCTGGATCAAGAGTCACTGGCATTCAATCACCTCCCTTGAAAGGATGGGTCATACATATTATAGTTTGCTACAATCTCCATCTCATAATTTATTGTAGTCTCTAAGTGTGTTACTTGTGATCAAAACTATTTCTTGTAAGAATCTGACCTCGTTTGGGGCACTGTGAAGCTGGTAAAGGGTTTTTGATGCATGAAATTGGAGTTAACCTTTCTTTCCTCAGGTTGAACCTGCTCAGGGTACTTCTCACCTTCCCATTCTCTAGACACTGTATAACCCTTATGGGTACAGCTCTTCCCCATAATATAATAATAATAATAATTCTCACCTGATTGTGCTTTGCCTTCAGGACTGACTACATGTGTTAATTCTTCATTAGCAACCAAATTGTCATCATTTCTTGGATTCTTAGGTGTGAATCAAATTTTGAAATGTGTGAATGAAACAGGTTGTGCTTATTATATATATTTATTCAAGATTTGAATAGGAATGGGTGATTATGAAGATTAGAAGGTAACAAACATTTGTAAATATGAAAAAGTATAGAATAAACAAACCTGTATGAAATACTAGTGGTGTAAAGGCTTGAATTTCCAAAGTGCACATGATTCAGATTATGAGAGAAGTACCCTTCAAGGAAGGGACTGGAAGCCTTGATGTTGATTAATAGCTCTTGAACTAAAACAGTATAGCTACTCTCTTCCTTGGATCAAATTTGATTACCTCCCTATCACTAGATGCTATGACCATTAGAAATTGAGCACTTTCCTGTGAGTATACAGTAGTACTAATGAAAGCAGTATTATAGCATTAATCAGTATTGAATGTAATGGATGTAGACTCAAGGAAACTATGCAAGATGAATATTTTAGATGGGTGTACAAAAGCAACAGGTGGTGTAGATGTGTGGAATGCACAATGAATACTAAGTTTGTGGTTATTGCAAGTGTGTGCTATTATTGTATCCACTGCCATATATGCATAATTATATAATGTAAATACTCTACTTATAATGTGTAAACTGAGCTTATGATTGTATTTGTATGTTGTATTTCAACAATTGAAAACAATTTACTGAGATGAGTAAAATTGTTATTAATATGGATGGGTGAGTGTGGAGGGCAGGGAGTGACCTTGGGCACCCACACCTCACATGTGCACCTTCTCTCACCAGGACCATCACCAAAAGTGGCCAGTGGTGAGTGAATTGCCACAGCTGCTGCTCTACCTGTTATAACCTCACATCTTGGTTTTGACTGATTTTTAATAATAATTTTTTTGGCTTTAGTATTAAATATAATGGGAAGTTTTATCTCATTTTGTGTCAAGATTTGTTACCCCAGCTGTGGTCATATTTAATTATGTTAAATATTAAAAAAATATTAGTACGTGTATTTATTGAATTTAAAAGCAGTGAATGACCCATGCAGATATAGAATTTTCTGTGTGTAATACAGAAAATTAAGCATAACATTTTACATTTTTAATACTTCACTTAATATAGTACAATTTATAGAATTTTTTAATACTTTCAATACTTTTGGGAGAAGTTTTGCATCCAGTTTCCACAAAAAAAAAAAATAATCATCATTATCCCTTCAAGTGACACTGATAAATTGTTACTATTGAAGGGTACTTGATTCAAGGGACTGGAATTACTCTTCATTTTCTTGGATCAAACCTGATTACTTTTCATTATCCAAGCGGTGTATCACCCTACAGGTTTACCATTTTCCATGAATATAATGATTAAAGTCGTAACTGCCACCTACACTGTTTGACATATTTACTAAACAAGTAAGAAAGGGTATATTATATTGAGGGTGATAGACAATTCTTCATATTGCCATGGAAAACTAAGCTTCCACATTTTGGTAAAACATCCTCATTCAATCATTACCTTATTGAAAATCTAATAATTAATCATCCATTCTCTTCAATGGTCTGGTCTTTTTCACTGAAACTTCTGCATTGATTACATTTGTTTCATAGTTCCTGACATGTTATATTTACCTACCTCAGATGTCCTCTCCTTTCTTTTTCAGTTCATTCCTCATGATGGTATAGACAGACCACACTTTTTCCTAATCTTTCCCTTCAGAGAGGGAATGGGATACCTTGATACTGATGAAGGGTTCTTAAACCTGAGAATTGGAGCTTAACCTCACTTTCCTCAGATCAAACCTTATTACCTACCATTCTGCTGGTATTGTATGACCCCTATGATTTAAGCACTTCCCATGATTTTAATAACAGTTTCCCAGTCTTAGAGGTCAAACATATTTTATGGGTAAAAAGCCTATCTCTAGCAAATCTTTATTATAAGTAATTTACAAAAAAGACCATATAAGGTAGGTAGCACAACAATGATAGTGTGAATGATGGTGAAAGTGGTCTTATTTTGGGTTACCCTGCCTCTTAAACAGATTCTGCAAGGATCTGACATAAGAAAGCTTGTGTAGCATAGACATGGGAAAATTTATGTATATATACAGTATGTATAACAAAATGTTTGTAAATTTGACTCCATGCTTAATCTTCAAAGAGTATACACTAATGGTTCTTTATGGTCATTGCAGACTCAAGTTTCACCCCAGGATATCATAGTCTGCCAAGTGCTAAATTTCCTCCATTCATTCAGTCTCACACAAGCTGAAGTAATAATGCTATGCTGTCTGAAGACTGTCATGTGTGTTTTCTCAGCAGTAAAAGTAAACTCATCACTTACTTAAGACAAATATAGCTGCAAACTGGTCACTAGCCTGCCTGCGAGTAGTGTGTGTATAGCTCGTATATAATACAGTATATTATGAATATATGTTACAAGTGCAGAAATCCATTTTAAACAGATTTCAGGGTAAGATAAGAGTAACTCATTGAGGTAAACATAATTAACTAAATAACAAAAAAGGCACAATACCGTGACTGGAACAATACACAATAACCCACATATAGAAGAGAGGAGCTTACAACGACGTTTCGTCTGACTTGGACCATTTACAAAGTCACACTAACGAGAAGTGGAGCAGGACGAGTATATATAGGCAGGAAGAGGTAGTAGTAGTAGCAGTAGTAGTAGTAGTAGTGGTGGTAGTGGTAGTAGTAGTGGGGAATTAAGGAGGAGGAGGAGCCAGTCAAATACAAAGAAAGGGGAACACTGCAAGGGAGCTAGGTACCCACAGAGGGAGAGCAAGTACACAGAGGGGGGGAAGGGAAGTAATGAAAAAAAAAGAAAGTAATGAAAGAACAGAAACACAAGATAGAAGAAAGAAAGACAACACAGAAAAGAAAAAAGGAAAGAGGAAAGGGGAAGAGGGAAAAGAAAAAAAGGAGGAATCAGGTTAAGTCACGGGAGTTCTGAAGTTTGGAGCATTTTACAACGTAGTGGGAGAGGAAGGCATCTACAGAGACAAAGCCAGGACTAAGATTCATACAAGGAAAGTTGTGTATTAGGGAGGATTCAACCAGACGGCGACTGTTAAAGTTGGAAGTAGGGAAGACAGTTTTAGCAGAAGACCAGTCAATAGGATGGCTATGATCCTATGAAAGACCAAGCACACCCTCTCTCTCTCTCTCTGCTGGCATTGACTGAGCAGCTTATATTCAATAAGAAGTACGTACTAAACCTGTAAGGTGTCATTAAGTGCCTTGGGAATGGAAGGTAATTAGTTACTTGGACAAGTCTTTCATCTGTACCAAGGCATCACCTGCCTGCTCCAGAAACTATTGCAATTACAAGATTGACCTGGAAGTTAGTTGTTGAAACACAGAACAGAGCCAGAGAATTTCTGCTTTTAGTTTTTTTGAAAGGTGTGTACTGTTACCATACCTAGTCAAAAGCACCAGGAATGTCTGGTGCAACTTTCCAACTGATTTTAGATTCATCCAGCGAATGGTATCACATACTGGGATGGTTCATTCAACTTGAGAGTGATAGAGTAGCCAGTGATGTTTAAAAACATACCTTAATTTACATACTTTAATCAATGGGATACTTAAGAATTACATAGTTTTACAACTGCCAAGTTGCAGTGCTAATGTGGGAAATGGTTATCCTAATTTTTTTTATATAAACAATTCATTTGCAAGTTGAAACCCCTCAAGGAAGGTTCCTTGATGTTGGTGAGGGGCTCTTGATTTAGGGAATTGGATCTGTGCTCCAGTTCCCCGAATTAAGCCTGAATGCCTTCCACATCCCCCCCCAGGCGCTGTATAACCCTCCGGGTTTAGCGCTACCCCCTTGATTATAATAATAATGCAAGTTAAAAAAACATAAATGCAAGCTGTGTGCAAGATGAGAACCTCCTCTATATTTGAGTTCTTCCATAAAAGATATTTACCCAGTACTAAGCAGAGTTAGTAGATATCAGTAAAACTTTATGGTAGCTGGTAAGCACATCCACACTGTGGTCTTTGGTCCACCTTGTCCAACCTCACAGTCTTTACAATGCTACCTTTGATATTTTTTATATTGTTTTTGCCACTGTTGTAACATGGAGGTTAAATGTCTATACCTGGAACCTGCATCTTAACTGGAAAATGGTTTGGTGTAGTACAGTATTACAGCCTTTTCTTGATTGCTGATTGATTATAATTACAACTACATGTGAGTGTATAGACACACAATTTCCTTTAATCTGTTCTGGGGATAAAATTTTTCTTGACATCTGTGTATGAATGAGTTTGCTGCCTTAATAACCATCATGTAGTTTTGTATATGGCAAGGCATTAGAGATAGAATAATATCTCCTTGCATTATTATACTGTTCATGGAGAAGTAAACCACTAGGGGTCATATAGCACCTAGGAAACCATACCCCGGCCGGGGTATGGTTTGTTTGCAATTGTGTCATTACGATTTCGTGAGTCATGTTAGCACCTAGGAATGCAGAGTAATCAGGTTCAATCCAAGGAAGTGAAGGATTACTCCATTTCCTTGAATCAAGAGCCCTTCACCAGCATCAAGGTGCCTCCCTTGAAGTGATTCACAGTGCTATATGACCCTGGTGGTTTAGTGCTGGGTTTTAATTATAATAACTGAAGTGATCCTTCCTTGTAACCCCTCTATTTGCATCCCTTTCTAACTTGTTTTTCTTCTACCTGAGCTTTCATTACACCAACACTTACTTTCTTTGATTCACTCTCAGCTTCACTTGAAATATGGGATTGGCAAAAGTTTCTATTTCTGCCAATCACACACATTAAGTACAGTACTTAAACAAATCAGCAACTTCAGTATTTAGTGTACACTCATTTCACACAAATGTCTTACCTCTCCACTTGCAGTAATTCACCAGATACTGTATTTGCATTATAGGTAAACTTAATATGTGAAAGAAAAGTATGGACTGTGAGCAAGTCTGAAGAAAAGGTTTCTTCTCCATTATTACTCAATTCAATTAAATAATAAATATTTAGTTTGTATTAAGAATAAGCATTCACCACTCTGCTGTGAGGGTGAGTCAGTGAAGTCACTTAGAAGAGATGAATCACAGTTTGGGTAAGATTGAAGTCAAGGCTGAGCATGATGTGGGTAGACCCTTTAAGAAGGGTACCTTAATGGTAATAAAGGAACTCAATATTCAAGGAGCTGGAGTTACCTTTCCAGCCCTTGAATTAAACCTGATCACCTTCTGTTGCACAGGTGCAGCATGACCCTTATGGATTAAGTACTTCTCATAAACATCGTGATGTGGATAGACCAGAAAAACAAATCAGGTGTGTGATGTTCTTGATGTCCTTGCCAAGGAAATCCATTGTAACCAGTCAAAGAGTGAGTCATAGGTCAGGAAGTTCTTTGGGGTGAGAACAGCTGAAGTGAATTAAGGTGGTGTAGCCATGCTTATGTTATAAGTCATGTCAACTCTTCCAGAGAAATACCTTGATGGTAAGGGGCTCTTGATCCAAAGAATTATAACTGCCCTACTTTTCCATGGATCAAATCCTATTCCCTCCCATTTCTCTAGTGTTATATGACACCTGTGGGTTTAGTGATCTCCCAATGAATGTAGTGATAACCATAATCTTTTAATGTTCATCTCTCCACCCCTGGCTCCTCTCTACTCCAGCAATACCCGCTGCCCTGCAGCACTGTATGACCCTAGTTGGTCTAGCATTTGGTTTTGATTATAATAATTTTAATGTTCACCCGGTGGCCTGGTGGCTAAAGCTCCCGCTTCACACACGGAGGGCCCGGGTTCGATTCCCGGCGGGTGGAAGCATTTCGACACGTTTCTTTACACCTGTTGTCCTGTTCACCTAGCAGCAAATAGGTACCTGGGTATTAGTCGACTAGTGTGGGTCGCATCCTGGGGGACAAGATTAAGGACCCCAATGGAAATAAGTTAGACAGTCCTCGATGACGCACTGACTTTCTTGGGTTATCCTGGGTGGCTAACCCTCCGGGGTTAAAAATCCGAACGAAATCTTATCTTATCTTATCTTCAGGTATGTCGAGTGTCCTATGTATGCTTTATGTACATAAAAGTTTAAAATATAAAAAATCACAGTGATGTGTAATAAACTAAAATTCCTCAGCAAACATGTATATTTTACTTAATATAACTTATGAAAAAAGAATAATGTCAGAAGGAAAACTTTTTTGGTTTTGAGGACTAGGTTACTTTCTCAGTCGTTAATTTTTTTTTTTCGTGAGTAATAAAAAATAATCAAGGCTCTTTGATGGCTGGTGAGATTGGCAGTGTGATTAGGAGGATACCATTGAACTTCAAGAAGACTGGTTGTATGATTAGGATACCACTGAACTTCAATTAGATTGGTAGTTTGGTAGGAGGATACCATTGAACACCAATTAGATTGGTAGTGCAATTAGGAAGATACCGCTGAGCTGCAAAAATATTTAGACAAACTAATGTTATGGTCCGAGAAGTGGTAGATGCAGTTCATTGTGGATAAGGGTGAAGTCCTAAGCCTTGGGATTAAATATAAACTATGACCTTTGTGGGTTTAGTGCTTAGTTATGATTATAATAATTATTATGGGAATAAGTATAACCTTAACAATTATACCCCTCAGGGAAGGTTCCTTGATGTTGGTGAGGGGCTTTTGATTTAGGGAATTGGATCTGTGCTCCAGTTCCCCGAATTAACTATGAATGCCTTCCACATTCCCCCCCCCCCCCCAGGAGCTGTATAATCCTACGGGTTTAGCGCTTCCCCTTAATAATAATAATAATAATAATTCACAATTATAAAGTAGGTCATGCAGAGCTTGCGAAATGGACATAGTATGTAATGGTAATGTATATCAAGACGACTGTATAGCCCTTGTGGCTTAGCGCTTCTTTTTGATTATAATAATAATAATAATATCAAGACGATATGCTGTTTATGGCATTTTACCGAGACGTTTCATTCACTTAGGATAAAATAGGTTGGACAAATATGTGGGTGGGAAGGGTTGAACCGAGAAAAATCTGCCAAATATGGGACAGTAGGCTTGTTGCAGTGTTCCTCTATTATATATTTATATCCTTACTAATTGAAATTTATCTAATTTTAATCCATTTCGAATTCTTCCTTTTTTATATATGTTCAGTAATTTATTTATATCTGCTTTATTTATACCTGCCTTCCACTTGCATGCTTCAATCATACCACCCGTTATTCTACGTCTTTCAAAAGAGTGAAGGTTTAGTGCTCTTAATCTAACTTCCTATGAAAGATTCCCGATACAGTAATTTAATTCTGTTATCCTTCTCCGTATGTATTCTGATACATTTACATCCATTCTGTAGTATACAGAACTTGTTGCATAATCTAAATGAGGCCTTACGAATGATGTAATAATGGTAGAATTACCGACAGTATAATAAGTAAAACGACACGTGTGCAACTAATGTTAACATTTTATTGGCAATAAAATGTCATATAAGTTGCATATGTGTTCGTTTTACTTAACATACTAATGATGTATAGAGCTGTAATATAACCTATGGATTCTTGTGGCATATACTTAAGATTTGTTCGGATTTTTAACCCGTGGAAGGGTTAGCCATCCAGGATAACCCTAGAAAGTCAGTGGGTTATCGAGGACTGTCTTATTTCCATTGTGGCTCTACAATCTTGTTCCCCAGGATGCGACGCACATCAGTCAATTAACACCAAGGTACCTACTTTCTGCTAGGTGAAAGGGGACAACATGTATAAGGAAACATTGTATTAATATTGGTAGAATTATCGACAATATGTTAAGTAACAGGACACAAATGTAACTAATGTGATATTTTATTGTAGAAACGTTACAAACAATATACCCTCTGAGAGGGTAACGTTGCCACAATAAAATGCCACATTAGTTGCATTTGTGTGCTTTTACTTAACATGAGGAAACACGCCCAACGTTTCCACCCGGCCGGGGACTGGACCACGTTGCATACCAAGCCACGGGACCTTGATAATCAAACATCCAGGTAGTCTGCTAGCCTAATTACGCACGTTTTGGCATAGCTATCAGCTTCAGATTACTGTTAATTATAATTCCTGAGTCCTTTTCACATTCTGTATGATGGGTTTTACATTATCTACTTTATAAGTGATGTGATTCTTTTCAATCCCGAGGGTTAGGACTCTCCGCCTTTCTATATTAAACTGCATCTGCCTTTTTTTTTCTTTAAATTATGCTGAAGTATTTCAATTATATGTATTCTAATTATTATTATTATTATTATTATAATAAGGGGAAGCGCTAAACCCGGAGGATTATACAGCGCCTGGGGGGGGATGTGGAAGGCATTCAGGCTTAATTCGGGGAACTGGAGCACAGATCCAATTCCCTAAATCAAGAGCCCCTCACCAACATCAAGGAACCTTCCTTGAGGGGATATGTATTCTAAGTCTTCAAAAATCATTGTAAAAGGTTCAAGTTTTGTAACTCCGCTTATAGACTGTCCCAAACCTACAGTAAATAATGCTTGTGGGAGAAAAGTGAAAAAGATCAGGCTTGCTCTAGTAACTATAGATAAACAGATATAGATAGATTATATATTTTAGGGTTAAGCGAGAATAAGAGGCCCACCTGCACACATTCCTGTACTCCTGCCCACCATACCAACACACACAAACACATAAGGTACGTCAAGGACATTCTCGGGGGCCCAATTTAAACTTGTTTATGCCACCTGGAACATTGCGTTGTGAAGACCACTGATACATGAGGATCACATTACTAACACTTGACCACTGACACATGAGGATCACATTACTAACACTTGACCACTGACACGTGAGGATCACATTACTAACACTTGACCACTGACACGTGAGGATCACATTACTAACACTTGACCACTGACACATGAGGATCACATTACTAACACTTGACCTCTGACACATGAGGATCACATTACTAACACTTGACCACTGACACAGGATCACATTACTAACACTTGACCACTGACACGTGAGGATCACATTACTAACACTTGACCACTGACACATGAGGATCACATTACTAACACTTGACCACTGACACATGAGGATCACATTACTAACACTTGACCACTGACACATGAGGATCACATCACTAATACTTGACCACTGACACATGAGGATCACATTACTAACACTTGACCACTGACACATGAGGATCACATTACTAACACTTGACCACTGACACGTGAGGATCACATTACTAACACTTGACC